ACATAGTCCTGCTGCTTTCTAGACTCTGCTCCATCTGCCTTTTCACAAAGATCATGGCAGGGCACTCGTGCTTTAAGACTGAGCAGACACAGAGCTGGGGTCCTCCGCTACAGTGTTTTCTCAATGTTTTAACTTCTGAATTCTTTCCATGCCTGCTGCTGCCTTGACTATAGACACACTGAGACACGATTGGCCGCTGAGGACAGCCTGATCTCAAAGTGGGCGGAGTCTGGCAAACTCTCAGCACGCCCTCCCTGTAGCGGCACTTTGCAAAGGTTACTTTAGGACACTGTCTGACAGCTTGGAACCCCACATACATCAAGAGCTATGGGACTGACCTCCCACACTTCCATGGGCCCCTCAGCTACACTCACAGCCAATCCAAGTACACAATTCCTGTAACCCCTGCAGCTCCTGCTGGCACGAAGAAAGTGTGTGCACTCCAGAATTCTCTCAAAATATTTCCATATGGCTTGCATATCTTTAACAAGGGGTATTAAAATTCCTGCTTCTATACTATAGATCTTCTTTACAGATCTATTTCAGATCTGAGTGAGATACAATCTGATTAATATACAGCATCTTTTTCTTAGCACACTACTCCTCGCTTAGCCCAGCTACACAAGTTACCTGTTGGGATTGTGCATGACCCTTAACCTCTCACCCATTACCTTCCAAAGCTCCAGAGAACATGGAACATGTGTGTAAGTGTGCAACTGTGAGCAAGGGTAAGGAAGTTCTTACATTTGCACGTACAGTAATGTATTACACAGGAATGCAGATGCATTCAGTCTGAATTTAAGTAGCTATGTCTACAAATCTCGTCACTGCAGTCACAATCTGAAGATTATGAGGCAAATTCAATTGCAAACATGCCAAAACATACCTCTTTATTCTACCTGAGCTTTTCTGGATGGTACAATTTTAAGTTGTCTTTATTGACAGTAACGTATTACTAACTGCAGATGTGGGATATGAATGTGGTGCTGCAGAGTCTTGGTAAAACAGTCCTGTTGTTATGCGAAAGTAAAACCAACAAAGCAGGAAAACAAAACAGGGTTATTTCTGATTGGATTTTAAGCTTGTAATTAGTATTTTTCTGTTCCATTCAGAGTTCCTTGGGATGTTGAGATCTCAGAAAAGTTCTTCAAGCCTTGTATATTTTCTAATATTTTGTGTGTGTATCAAAGCTCAATACAGGAGACAGATATTCATAATCATCCACATCCTCTGGTACAAAATGGCACAAAAAGGCACACAGCTTGCAGGTCTTTAAATGTTGCGAATTATAAAAGATTAGTCTGGGAACCAACTCACCCTTCACCCATCGTTGACATCTAACCTTCTGAGCTGTAAAAATTCATTCACTACCTACTTAATGAAAGAACATTTTCTCACAGAAATACAATTCCAATTACTTCCTAATGTTAAACCCTACAGCAGTGTATCTTTGCCTCTAGCAAGAGTATTCTTTTAAGCATCAGGGCACATGGTAGCTTTTTATAATATACCACTTTCTATTTCACAGGGAAAAAGGAAAAAATATCCTCTTCAAGTACTTATTTATACTATAAACCTTCATTTAATTCCTGTGTTTACTGCAACTAAATGGATTTCATGTCAATGGAATTATATAACACGATGCTCTGTTTGAACGATTATTCGTTAACGGACACAGGCTGTTAAGGCATTTCTGATCCTAAACAGAGTTAATGCTGAATGTGCTTATGAATGTTTGCAAATTTTATATTTTAAGCATCCCATGGTCTCTCCAGGCAGCACTGGTAGTGCAGTGGTTAGCATTGCTTCCTTGCAGATCTGGGGCCCTGGTTTTAATTCCGGATCTGGGGTGCTGTCTGCGTGGAGTTTGCATGTTCTCCCCATGGTTGTGTGGGTTTCCTCCCACAGTCTAAAGACGTGCTGGTAGGTTAAGTGACTTCTGGGAAACCTGGTCCTGGTACGAATGTGTATCTGGGTGTATCCTGCCTTGCACCCACTGCTTGCTGGGATAGGCTCTGGCTCCCCGGTGACTCTGTACTAGATAAAGTGGTCACAAAATGAATGGAGGGATGTTCTCTCTGGTCTCTACTATACAGTGTTTGCTCTGAAGCAGTGGAAGGTTGTGGGCGGGTGTCCTGGGTGGGGAAC